GGCCACGTAACAACTCATTCTCGGTATTTCTGTCGCCATGTATTGGAAAGGTCTACGAATTGGCACCTCTGATGGCAACGAAACCAAGAGACGGAGCTTGGTCGAACCTCAGTCGGTATCCCGCCGTAGCGAACATATACCTCGCCCTACTCTCTCCACAACCAACCTAGCACCGAGGCGCTCGGAGTCCGCTCCTCGTTCACCCACTCTGACCGGTCCAGATGCAGATCACCCCACTGACACTACCGCGCCGGAGCTTGCCGGAAGTCATTCGCATACTCCACCAGGCAAGGCACAAAATGCCGGTCTATCAGTGAGCGATGGTTCAAATTGGCGCTTCAACCGATTTAGTTTCATGAGGCTACGTCATGCATCGGATCCGCAGCTCTCAAAATCCTACGCGAAAGGGGAGGAGGATGTTCCTCCAGTGCCGAGTCTGCCTCGTAAGTGCATCCGTTTCATAGGCTCGCATGAATCCTGTATTGGCCACATCACTAATTACTACTACACCGTCATAGCTCCTACCATAATTACCACTGCACCTACGAGCCATGAACTAGATCAACCGGTCAAACGAAAGACTAAATTCAAACTCTTCCCCGATTCTAAAACACCCTCTGTAGAAGAATTGCCTACGCAGCGTGCACCAAAACATAGTCTGAGCGAAAAGCCTGGGCATGCTGCACAGGGATCGACAGCGTCGCAGGCGGCGGATCCTATCCTATCGGCCTCTCAGAGTAACAGCGAAGAGCCTGGGCGTTTATCAACTACGTCGATCCGAAGCAATCGTGACCAGGCCAATGATTCTCAACGCTCCTCAGTGACAGATGCGCGGTTTTCGGAGTCATCCCGTTCCGATCGGAGTGCTGGAGATGGCAATCCTCGTTCAGCCTCCCCTCGTGAAGGGGTGTCTGGCAACAAGCGATTTCGCATGCCGCGCTTGAAACGGCACCGCAGTCCTCTTTTTCCTTTACCACCAAAACCAACGGGCAACGACTCCGTCAACGGCCACACACAAAGCTTGGCCATATCGAAGTCTGCTGGCGATTCCGCCCCGAACTCCGACTTGCCGGAAGATCCAAATGAAGACCATATCTCTCCGCTACCATCTCCCACCCGGTCGTCGGTGGGCCTGGCTTCGTCGCGACCGCCCTTGCTGAGAAATGATTCTGCAACCTCGGCTCATTCAGCCCGTTCGACACCGTCAAACAAGAGTCGGGCAATGCCTACGTCACGTACGAGATCGTCTACCTTGGATTCATTAGCTAATGCACGGGAGAACGGGCAGTCATCCCCACATCTCATCTCAGGGCGGACCTCAACCTCCATTAGTGGGCGAAAGAGTTTTGGGGATATATTCAATATCCCCCACCGATTTAGGCAGAATTCCGATTCCCCTGTTGCTCGGTCCGGATCCCCAGGCTTCAAAGGCCCGGGAACTCCAGGTTCGAAGCCTAGCTTGATCACGTATCCCGAACGAGAAGAGGGTGACACACCAGCAATATATCTAACTCGGCTAGAAGAGAGCATTCCAAGGGGCGCGATTGCTGGCGTCCTGGCTCAATCAAACGATGATTTCTATAAGACTGCCCTGCGAAAGTATATGAGAGGGTTCTCGTTCTTCGGTGATCCTATCGATATGGCTATCCGGAAACTCTTAATGGAGGTGGAGTTGCCAAAAGAGACACAACAAATTGACCGCTTCCTCCAAAGTTTTGCTGATAGATATCATGAATGTAATCCGGGTATTTTCGCCTCCACAGGTATGTTGGTTGTCATCAGTGTGTCATTGTGTAAAGCTTCAAAATTGACGCCCTACCTTTCATCCAGATCAAGCCTATTTCATCGCCTTCTCGATTTTAATTCTACATACAGATGTCTTTAACAAGAACAACAAGAGGAAAATGCAAAAGCCGGACTATGTCAAGAATACTCGTGGTGAAGGTATATCAGAGGACATCCTAGAGTGTTTCTATGAGAACATCTCGTACACTCCTTTCATCCATATCGAGGACGCAATGTCCAATGGCCGACAGTTTGCACGGCCCCGACGAACTCTGTTGAAGGCCACTAGCACAGATCACTTAGCTCGAGCCACCAGAGAACCAGTGGACCCCTATACGTTGATAATGGACGGGAAATTGGATTCTCTGCGCCCAAGCCTTAAGGATGTCATGAACTTGGAGGATACCTATTGTTGTGATGGAACTGATGGACCAGCAAACATCGATGGTCTCCACCGCGCATTTTCGAAATCTGGCGTTTTGCAGATTGTGTCTCTACGGTCTAGGCCGGACATGTATATGCCATCGAGTATCGACAATCCGGCCGACTCTAATCCCGGGCTGGTGGATATCAAAATCGCTAAAGTTGGATTGCTCTGGCGAAAGGATCCGAAAAAGAAGAGAGCTAGATCTCCATGGCAAGAATGGGGTGCTCTGCTCACATTCTCGCAACTCTACTTTTTCAAGGATGTGACGTGGGTGAAATCTTTGATGGCGCAGCACGAAAGCCATCACAAGGAGGGCCGTCGTCGGGCGGTGGTTTTCAGACCTCCCCTTACCGAATTCAAACCGGACGGTATCATGTCAACTGAGGACGCAGTGGCTTTGCTGGATTTAAGCTACAAAAAGCACAAGCATGCCTTTGTCTTCGTCCGACACAGCGCTCTGGAGGAGGTATTCCTGGCAAATACCGAAGCTGACATGAACGATTGGGTAGCGAAATTGAATTATGCTGCGACGTTTCGGACCACCGGGGTCAGAACGAAGGGAATGATCGCCACGAATTATGAAGCACAACGGAACCGGATGAGCCGTCGGGGTTCAAATCAATCCAGCAGCTCACATCTCTCTATGGACAAAGAACCGCCGTCTCCAAATCCTGATACCGATGTGGCTGAGGAGTTGGTTACAGCTCGTAGGCAGCTTATACGCCAAAAGATTCGAGAGGCTAACGAAAAACTATTCGTTGGACAACGACAGCTTGATGATCTCTTGCGAAATGCAAGGCACTTGCAAATCTTGACGCCTGTGCACTCCAGGGCTAGAGAGCATGTCATCATTGCTGCAGGGCGCATGGCTGCAAAACTCAAATGGGTTAGACAGGATATTTGGCGCACTAGGTGCTATAGGGAGGTTCTTGTTCGAGACATAGGCGAAGCGTTGGACGAAGAGAAGCCTCTCGCAGAGCCGAAATTACACTTGCAAATGCCAACAGCCACCGTTACATCACAGCCAGAGAACCTGGACGGAGCAGGGTCCGACAGGGTGACGTCTCCGACAGAGGACGTCCCATCCCCACACGCGGAGTCTGGCGGACCTCACTCAGTCTACAAAACTCCGACATCGCAACCCGCTTCTCCCGACGGTCGGAGACCAAGTATACCGGCCTCCTTTGCTTCCCTCGAAGTAGCTTCCCGAGCTGGTAGACAAATGTCCATGGACAATACCGAGGAACGCGCGAAGTCTTGCTCGCCCCATCCAGCGAGTAGCGTACAGCGCGAAGCATCAGTGCTTAGCGCCGCTAGTAAGATGGATGTTTCGAGCCTGGGGTCTCGAGCCTCTAAGATAACTGCCCCCGGTAGTATGGATGAAAATGAAGAGCGGCTGCTGCGTGAAACAGGTTTGCTTGAAGTCGGCAGCTCGCCTCAAGCGCGGAAGCATTCTTCAGCTACAAATGATAGCGAGGCCGACCAGAAACCAGAAGATGCGCAAGGCGCCCTTCAAGGAGAGAGAACAAGCCGTATCCGTCGCAGTTTTCATCGTACCCTTCGAGATTCCCCCAGCGGCCATCATCTACATTACCCTCGAAAGAAAAAGTCTCGAGATTCAGGATTCAGTATGGCGACGTCAGATGATAATCTAAAACCACAGCAAGGCGAAGGTCTGTCACGGAAGTCGACCAACTTCACTGTGCATGGCAAGAAGGCATCAATTGTGACTTTCGGTTCTGAGTGGCAGAACATGCCGCCAGAGGAGCGCCTCAAACTACGAAAGCCAACTCCATCAGAGGAGCCAAGAGCATCAAATCCAGAACTTGCCAGTAGTGCAGGTTCTGTCGCTTCAGAGTCCATATACCCTGGCAGCCCACACCCTTTGCGAAGTGGGAGTATAGCGACCAAGGGGAGTGCACGAGATGATCCCTGGAATCCCGCTGAAGCAGCCGGGGCTCTATACCGCGAAGACAAGGCCAAGAGCGATGCTGCCATCGGCCTAGTTCCAGAACTCTCGGAGCCTAATGTGTTGGTACCGCCTGTCTTACCGTTGGATGAGCCGAGCGCGGTGTCTAATGAAGGTGTATCGTCGCATCCGACTAGAGGCGACAATGAGAGCCTTGTAGAGAACAACACTCCACAGGGGATGTCGCCTAGTCCCCCGGAGCAGGCTGTAAACGCTTGATTTTTGCAATTATGCAGGGTCTTTTTTTCTTTTACTTTCATGACATTATACCCATTTCACTTTTCCTTTTCTTTCCATCTGCATCTGGTCTCTTCATTAAAAACGATATATTTGGAAAAGCTTTATGAACTGTCTCCTATTCGCGCCAGCTCTCTTGATATGCTTTTCGGCCTTGGTTAGAGGGCTCGTCAGAATGTCTGTCATGGAGCACTTACTCTCCCGTCTACCTTTCTTCCCTCATCGCACTTCGTTCTTTTTCCTTTCCTTCTGTTTCAACTCCACCTTTAGACTAGCGGAGAATCGGATCCGCGTTGACATGACCTACCTCTTTTTTTTCTACTTTTTTTTTTTTTTTACTGTTTGGCTTTGTATAAGCCCGAGGCGCATTTGCTTAGGATGGGCGGCAGTCGTTCTCTTTTCCATTTCTTTTTCCTACTGAGATACCATGTATCGTGTGGATGTTTGGCGTGATATGAGTATTGGAAGAACAGGCTTTAGCCAGCATGGGCAATAAGAACATGTAAAAACAACGAAGAGACCATTAAAATAGAGATTTAATAGCATATTGACTTCTGAATTTCTTGGCTATTTTATTTGCCTAGACGCTCTGCACACACACGACATCATAGTCTGTAGCGCCGAGAACACAACAACACACTCTTCCTAGCAACCCTGAGAGTTCCATTCCTCCCAACACGCTGCCTCACACTGTAATCTCTTGGTGTGCTACCTGTTGAGACTTCTACAGTGTCGAATGTCTGTCTCCTTAGGTCCCTGGCCACACTAGCAAGAAGACACATACAGAACAAGATAAACTGTGGTGCTTCCTTCTTTCTTTCAACCTCAACTCACAAAGAGCTGAAAGAACAAAGTAAACCAGACTCTATCTTGTTTGATTCAATACCAGGTACTGTTGTTTGCTGCCAGAGAAAACCAGCTTCTTTGTCCATATTCGGCTTTCCTCACTGCAACCACATTGTTGACACAGATAAAGCAATTCTGCAGATATTAACCTGTTCATATCTTTGTCCCAACCAATACCCACTGCAGGGCACACTCCCCACGGAGAGCATAACTACCAGCTAAGGCGCCATGGACCAAAAGTGTATAGGTCACGAACTATCACGTGAGTGCCAGCCGTCACGCAGTGAATGTCTGCAAAGCAGACCAGAAACACAGAGGGGAAAAGAAACCACGCTAGACGAGAATACAGACCTGTGCGATGTCTGTCGTGAGGGGGTCCGTCTCTCAGACCTGACACAGTACTTCCATCGTGCATTTTCGACAGTCACTTCCGCGACACCGTTCATCTCCATGGCTGAGGTGGCAGGTGTTTTCAGCTCCAACAACCCCGGAGTCAAGAAGTGCACGTATGAGGGGTCGCTGGTGCGTCGGTTCATTAGTTGCGGCGTTGGCGTCGGCCTTGTCACCACCGAATCTATCCCTGCTGGTAGTGTGGTGTTTGCGGAAGATGTGGCTTGGACTACGGAGGAGGAGTCCTCAAGGTGCCAGACGCCGAGGGAGATGAATGCTATGCTTGGGGCGAAGGTGAGGGCCATGGGGGGTGAGTGGCTGAGGAAGTTCCTTACTCTGCCGAGCTCGCTAAAGCAGGATTTGGGGGTGTTTGCGGGGATTTGGGATTTGTATCAGTTGCCGATTGTCATGAATGGGGTGAGGGCTGGGATTGTGGGGGTGAATCTCGCGTCGGTCAATCATGCTTGTGTGCCGAATTGCGCGTTGACGATCATCAATAAGTATCCGAAGGATGAAAATGGAAATAATGACATGAGGGAGAGTCCAATGATTGGAAGGGCTATTATGCGCGCTCTCAGGTATATCCAGAAGGATGAGGAGATCACTGTCGCGTACTTCTATGGAAAGGGACAACAGAAGGCGAGGGAGTTGTTCTCGTGGACAGAGTTCGGCTTCTTCTGCTCGTGCAAAGAGTGCGTGCAGCCCAAGGATGTGATCGAGATTGCCATGGATAAGTATTGGAAGGTTGAGCGCATCTTGAACCACCCCGACACTGTCGACTTGTATCCTGCGATGGCTTTCAAGTCCGCACATGAAGTGATCGGCAGGCTTCTTTCGTGCGAGATCCGCGATGCTCGTGTTGCGATGATTTGGGCCAAATGTGCCATGATCGCTGGTTACCATTCTGATATAGCGCGTGCTATGTGTTTCCTCGCCAAGGCATACCGAATGTTGGCTATTCTCGAGGGTAGTACGGGGGTCTTCTATCGACAGATCCTCATATGGTACGAAACACCCACGGCGATGCCAGGGTTTGGAGCTACCACACGGGGACTTTCCACCGCTACCGAAGGCCGATACATGCTCGATGAACGCGACGTCAAGGAGAAGCTGTTCATGACGGCAGCAAAGTCGGACGAGTACATTCGCATACACCGATACCACCGCTTATCTGACGCTATGGCCAAACAGAAAGGCAGTAGGTACCTGCTTTTACCCGAGAAGCCCACCAAGCCAAAGGTGGCACCGGAATTGCTTGAACCAGGTGTCTCGAAATCAGCACACATGCCAAAGCACGGATATGGGCCGATTGCGCCAGAGAGGGTTCACCGGAGCGGCAGGGGCACATCCAATCTGAGACGGGGTAAGGATGGACCCAGGGAAAATACTTCGAAGGGGAAGCCTCAAGTGTCCAAGGGCCATAGTCAAGCATCTACCCAGGAATCGTCGTCAGGCGAAGTCTGCACTGATCCGGACTGGGATATGTTGGATCTTGTACGAGAGCTCATGGCTGACAATCCCGATCTATTTCCAGATTATCCTTCTCCTACTATTTCTGAGGCATCCAAGAAGAAAAGAGCAAGAAGAAAAAGAGCAAGAAGGGGAAGGGCTCGGCTGAATTGGGAGGATATACTCAAAGTAACCCAATCGTGAAGGAGCTTGAGGCGGAAAAGAAGGTGGTGATGGTTAAGGAAGCCGGCGTTCGCTGTGCCGAGGAGGTTCCGGATTCCAATTAAATAGTTGGACCCGAGAGTGACAGACGATGGCCATTGCTCATCTCTCTTTGGAGTTCAGGTGAAGTTGGTGGAAGGACATTGAATGGCCCGATTGGGGTTTTGGAATAAATGCGGAGAGAACGTGACGATTTAATGATTATGTCATGATTTCTCCAAATTATTTCATTTGCATGCTTTTGGCCTCCTCTTCTTCACACTATTTTTCAGGTTGTCTTTTTTGTTTCTGTTGATATGTCATTTTTCTGGCTCAGGTTAGCTCAGGATTAGATCAATCAACCACCAAGTTTTTCCTTAGGAATATCCTCTTGAGTCGCTCGCCACAATTGCAGCTCCTTCAACCTCCGCAGATATTCTCCGCCCCGAATAGAACCTCCCACTCTATATTCTTCTAGATATTCCAACCATTCACCACACACAATAATGGCTCATTCGAAACGCAACACCTCCCTCCCACACTTTACTTCCTACGAGCGCGGCCTCCTCCGCTCGCAATGGGGCACTCAGCGCGGCGTCATCGGCCGCGACTCTTTCCTTCCATTCGCTTCTTGTCGCCTCTGTCTACACCCCGCTCGAGCACCCGTCGTCGCCTGCGCAACAAATGGTGATATATTCTGTCGCGAATGCGCCATAAATGATCTCCTCGCGCAGCGACAGGAGATCAAGCGACTCGAACGAGAACGGGAGGAGGCCAAAAAAAGGCTCGCAGAGGAAGATGAGCGGACGTTAGAAGAGGCGCGTGAACGGGAGCTGCGCGAGTTTGAACTCGTCAGTATGGGATTGGAGGTAGCGAAAAATAAATCTTCCGGCCAAGCGCAGGATGATAATCATAAAAAGCGGAAGGCCGAGGAGGCTACGGAGGCATTGGCTGCGTTTAAGGCGAGGGAAATCGAAGTGGATGGCAAGCGGAAGAAGGTGTTTGAGCTGGATGAAAAGGAGATGGCACGGGTTGCTCGGGAGGAACAGGAACGACTCAAACAGGATCTGAAGAAGGAAAAGGTAAGAATCGACGAGTATCCTGTTGGGAAGTACTATACTGACAGACGATAATCGCCAGTCTGAATCCAGCAAGTCAGCTCTACCGTCATTCTGGGTGCCTTCACTCACTCCCAATACCGATCCTAATGAGATTGCGGCCAATAAGGTCGTTAAATTGAGCCCTGTTTGCCCCGGTTCGACAGATGAACACCGTCATAGCTACTCGCTCAAATCGCTGGTCGACGTACATTTCACCGAGGAAAAGGCATCCGACGGCACAGTGGCGCGGATCTGTCCAAGTTGTAAAAAGACACTAACAAATGGACTCAAGGCGATGTGTAAGTACAATCGCCCACTCCCGAACTTTTGATCGGCGGTGACCAACTGACTATTTACACTTATAGTGACCAAACCTTGTGGCCATGTTATCTGTTCGCCTTGTGTGACCAAATTCATGACGCCGCACGATGCACCAGACCCGCATGCTACTAAAGAAGAACAAGAGCAGACAGCTGCCCTCCATGGGTTAATTCTATGCTACGTTTGCGAGGCCGATATCACACCTCGTGATTCAACAGAGAATGGCAAGGAATCAGGAAAGAAAAAGAAGAAGGATAAGGAGAGCATCAAGCCTGGCCTAGTAGAGATCAGTTCAGAAGGAACAGGGTTTGCAGGGCGTGGTGGAAACATAGCGACCAAGACGGGCGTTGCATTTCAATGCTGAACTGGCTGCGTTCTACCAATTGCATGGAGTATGGTGTAACGGTTGGGGTATACTTTGTGAGATAGTTGGCATTGATAGACCATGCCGAACATTGGCAGAATGACGATCTATATGAGAAAAAATACAGAGGTACAACGTCCGACGTGCATGCAACCCGTAAACGCCCGGACGATATAAACCAGTTATCACCCCGAAATTATTACATCCAAAATTACACAAATCGGCCCAGGGTGTCTAGTTCCTCAAAGGACAAGAGCCACTCTAGCTCCGCTTGGCAGAGTTGTTAAACTCGCGTACGACAACGTCGCACTTGATTTCCTGGCAGAGACGCTTGCGACGGTTCGTCTCCAACTTGGAAACAAACTCCAGGCCGCTCGCGCGCTCGACCACCTCAACCGGCACCTCGAACTCCGTCAGCCTCTTGTCGTTTGGGATCCGAGCATTGGGCAAGACAAAAGCCCCCAAGGCAACCTTTCCATTAGGAGAAGCGGGGCCCTCTTCGGCGTAGATAACCTTATAGAAGTGCGTCGGCACAGCAACATTAGGCGGGTTACCAATCACCTCGTACGACACACGCCATTTGCCATCCGCCTCACGTTGAGGGAGATACAGGGGACCGGTCACTATGCGAACGGAAGGATACTTCTTGGCCAGACCGCGGCAGAACTCCTCAAAGTGCGCCCAGTAGTCCCGGTTGAATCCCTCGCCCACCTGGGGGCACATGTTTGTTAAGGCAAAAGTAGCGTCCATGGCTTCCTGAGACCATTTGGCGTCAGCTGCAGGCACCTGGTGGCCGCGATCGTAGCCAGAGCGGAAGTAATCGTTCAGTTTGGCGCGGAAGGCAGCGGGGATAGTGGTGTCTTCGAAGAAGGTGCTATGTTTGCGGTCTGCGTTCTTCATCGCCAGCGAAGCCGGTGTGATGTGCTCGGCTACCCAAGCGGGATTGCGCGTGCGACGGTCGTATGCGCCAGCCAGAGGAGCTGAGAGCAGAGTATCGGCGACGGGACCGGGGAAGCCATATTGGTAGATGCCGGACGGGTCGACGGGCCCGGCGAGTGACTTGGCGGCGAGTGACGGGGCAGCTGGTTGGGTCGGGACAGGAGTGGACGAGGTAGCTGGTGCAGATGGAGGTAGCTTCTGTTGCTGTTGTTGCTGTTGCTGTTGAGGCCGAGGGGAGGAAGAGGAATAGAGCAACGCTGTCAGGCCAGCTCCGGTGGCCGCGCTAGCCGCGGCGATTGCGGCAAAGGTCGCCTTGGACATGCCGCCGGGGGGAGTGAAGGCGGGGAGGTAGAGGCGGAAGAGGAAAAAGGATAAAAGGCGGCAAGACGAGGATGGGTTTGACGATGATGATGAAAGTCCGGGGAAAACAGAAAACTGCTGAAGAGAGTCAAATTGAAGTTAAAGTGGATGGCCAATCAGAGGGCGGTAATCAGATGACATCCAGGCACGCGGCCTCAGGTACCGCACAAAAAACATACAGGACAAACTGCTCATGGCTGTAAACAACGTCCACGTCGATATATCAATTACTACATCTACTACGAGAATGAACCAAGCATAAATATCTACCAAAAGACGCTCTCGTCTCTTTCTGTGTACTACACCGGGCGATCCGATGACCACCGCAGGTGAGCTCTGCAGCTGATCCAAAGCAAAGGACTCGTATTGGTGTGTTCATGTGCATTCTCTCGGTTGAGGAGACTCAATAATAGTATGGAGAACAAGACTGTTGCCTTGAGATCTGCGTCCATATCAGAGAAAGGGGGAACAACAATCGTTCCTGGAGCCTCCTAATCTGGGTAAATAGCCGGAAATAGTTTCCTAGATGCGGAATTCTCTTTGCAGCCCGATCGGAAATTCAGAAACGAACTATCGAAAGCAAAAGACGGGGTAAGTCAATGCTTTATTGCATGAGGAACCAATAACACTGTCAAACGATAGATCGCATTTCTGATGGATCAGAATGTCTACTTGTCCATAAACAGAGTTTCCCACCGCCCCCCGGAGAATTTGTCGACCAGATCTGCATTTCCTGGACGAATGCTCAGCCACATTCCACCGTCCCGTCGGAGGATATCGAGAATGCTCTACTTTTACACACACCCATCTCTATGACGGGTGTAGTCTCACGATCATCGGATCTAGACCTCGCTAACTCTCTGATTGAGACGTCTGCCTGTCAACATATGCATCCGGTTTAGACTATGTGACGCCGCACTTCCCGTTTGGTCGGCTGCGGACGACCTGGCACAGTCTCCTTTCCTACACCAGTTCTCCGGCTGCCAATTGATATCCAGTGACCGTTTTCACGGACAAAATCCAACTATCTGCAGTTAGCCGCTAATCCCCCACGGAGAATAGTAGCACTGGTTGATCAACTGGTCTATCCAGTCATTACTCCAACGATTTGTCATGTATCTACGCTACCGTGGCCAGGTTCATAGTACCGAGCCCTCCGAGGCCCCAATTGGTAGATAGCCTCAGCGGTGTACAGATTTTGAGGTCTGCTTTGCTATTTTCGTAGAGTACAGTAAGTACTAATCATGTATAGTTCGTCCAAGAGGGGCAAGCCCTTCGTCATCCGCAGTAAGCGCATCTCTTCTGACATGACTCAAGTTGCCTCTTTCAAGGCAGCAGTGAATTTGGTTCAGCTTTGCACTTTCACGAAGAGTTTAGTCAAAGTGTGAGATAATCTGATCGCATCCTTCCTCTCGCCTCGGTCTTAACAGAAGGTATTAAGACCAGGTTGCTGGATGATACGGAGGACCTCCATGGAAAAAAGATCCACTCGCTTCACCAGGAAAGTCACTTGACTTTCCTGAAGTCGCATTCCAACACAACATGCAGGCAACCATTAATCAAATAAATTACTCTCGTCGATCAGTTGGTCGGAAAATCTCACAGATTCCAGATCCTTCAAAACAAAACCCTAACAAGTGGTGTGGAAAGGGGCACAAAAAGAGAAGGAACAATAAAAATAAATCAAAATAAAAAAAATATTAATTAATTAATTAACTAATTAATTAATTAAAAGATTTAATATATATATATATATAAAGAAATACTAATTAAAATCAAAAATCAAATAAACTTATGAATAATACGATTGCATAACCATATAAACAAGGGACTTTGACTAGTACGAACTGGTCTGCCTGAGGAATCCGAATGGTTTGCCACCCGGTGGATCCCCAAGCCCTAGCTTGAAAGGTTGGCCAACTTGGTCCTCACCAGCGTACCGAGACTAAGCTCGCTTCCTGATGCCTAAAGTTTCTGACTGACATTGAGAATTGGAGATCTGATGGGCGCCAGATATGCAGGATGTGTTACTGAGTAGGAGGACAGCACAGACATACATTCCTTTAAGATTCCGATCACTCCGTGTCGCAATGTCCAACAAAGCCTCCTCCTTCGATCCCTCTCCTTACCTCAATCTGTAGCAGCAAGTAACAGTGGTTCCAATCAAGCTAATCTCAAGATCCCGTCCTCCGTACCGTCCTTTGAACGGTTTTATGACAAGTAGCCACAGCATTGCGGCCGAGGGTCGGTTCCGATGATCAGGTGTGGCGCAGGATCCGGCATACAGTTCTTGGCCGACAGCAAGATAGACTACTGAGATATTGGTTACAATGCTGCAGATCTCCAGAGAAGGGACCTTGACTTGCGCTATTCTCTTAGCCCTACTCCAGAGTAATGACCTGGTTCCTCGATCTGCACTTTGACCCGTCCCTCGGCAACACCAGTACAAACGTAGTACTAAAAGATAGTGCTGTAACCTGTCCCACCGAAAGACTTTTAGATGCTTGTTAAGTGGGCTGACAAATAACGACATGACCAAAACGAAGCTAGGTTGTTCGTCAATTCTTCTTCGGACAGGTCGCGACTGGCTAAACGCCTATACTGGCACTTTCTACTCCGTACTGCCTTACTCCCCCTTTCCAAACAGTACACTGCGTTTTTTTTTTACCTTCCAAATCCCTCGTTCTTCTTTCCTTTTTGAGACGACCGAATTCCCCCTCCACCGAAACCCGGTGTGCATTCAAGGAATCTAAACATACAAACAAGAATTATTGGGCATGATGGATGGTGCAGCTTCAGAAGCCCCCCGAAGGAACAAAAAGCAAAGAGCAGTGCTCTCATGTATACCCTGCCATTTCCAGAAAATTAAGGTACCTGAATTCACCCTGCCGTGGATTAGCGAACCCACTCCATGTGGTGCTGATAAGTGGGTGGTATAGTGCAATCATGTCAGGCCATGCAGTGCCTGCTGCGTACGAGGACGACAAGCGAAATGCGAATACACCGTTACTCTAGAAGATCGGTGGTTCATTGAGCAGGCCCATCTTTTGCGACGCCTCCAACAACGGCGTAATTTCCTCGAGCAGCGGATCCTCACCCTTATGTCGGCTTCAGATAAGAAAATTCCGGTTTACCTCACGTCACAACAAGCGGACCTTCCCAAACAACGAGGAAAGCAACCACGGTCGCGAAATCCACATCGACGAAGTCCAAGTACATCTACATGCCGAGAGGCTGTGCAGCCGAAACTGGAATTGGATGGTATGTGGCGGTTTGCTCCTTGCACTATCAACAGATGTCCGCCATGCTGATCCCGCTCAAAAGAGAAGAGATTCTGTACAGAGCAATCGCAGCCCTACGTGCAATCCAATAGTAGTCTCGCTGTGCGTCCTACTCATACGGAGCGTTCCATCCAATCCCTAGTAGAAGTGTTCAGTGTCGATGTTGACGGCAGGCGCACGGTGCCCGTCTGGCTGGAGCAAGCGGTCCAGATGCGCTCCAGTTCCCCCCTACTATGTGCGGCCATCGAAGCTACATCCTTTGTCCTGATGGGCAAAATCTCGTGCGATCCGAAGTCCACCCATTCTGGTCTGGTTCGGTATACATGTGCTTTACGATTAGCAGGGTCGGCGATATGTGACGCACAGAGACGCTTACGCGACGATGTTTTCGTGGCGATCACTCTGTTTGGAATGATTGAGGTGTGTATGTCCCATGAGTCCGAGTTCGTTCCAATCCCGCTAAATGGACCGGCCAGATGTACGAAGGAGGCTCCAAGGATGCTCTCGTAAAGCATCAACAAGGAGGCCTAGATTTGCTATGCCTACGAACTCCGTTAAACCATTGCAAAGGCGTGGGCCACTCTATCTATGCAGATTTGCGCCTATCATGGGTACATCTCACTGATGACCACGAGAAATGAAAATCAAGCGAGCTTCTATGAACTAATATTGAAATAGATCCTCTCCGCGATATCACATGGACGGACATTCCTAGCGACCGACGACTGGAAAACCGTCCCCTGGACCGAAGCAAGCCCACGAAGCAACCTACATAGCCTCCTGGACATCGCCGCGGATATTCCCGGGCTTTGGAGGCAAATGGGATGCACCTCGCCAAGCTCGGACTCTTCTTCTAGCTGTACCTCGTTCGATGACTTTGAGTACACTGCCGAGGATCAAGCCACACAAATAATCCATCGCCTACAAGAGTGGAGGGAATCTCAACCCGTCCATATCCTGCCCGAACCTACCGAGGCACTTTTCACCGTCAGGGACGATTTTCCGGTGTTCGAGACGCACGATTCTACATCGGGAGCTCATAGACCACGGGACCTGGTTTACCCTAATGTTGACGTGTGTGTGGCAACCATTTCCCACTGGGCTTTTTGCCTTGCAGTCCCTACCGGAGCGTCACTAACTTGGCGTTATCAATATGCCTGCAACATATGCCGCAGTATGAGATTCTGCGTGCAAAACTTTCCATTCGCTCTAGCCTGCTTGGTCAGGTTTGCATTGAAACTTGTCTGTGACGTTTTCTCTGCTGACAGCATTGAGGGACAGTTTCCTGGGAAATTGTCCCATTATTTCTATCAAAAGTACCAGTTCTCTATCCTTGACTGAAGGACGAAGACGCCCAACGAAAGGCTCCCGAAGGATCTCAAGAGTAATGACGTGAACATGACCCGCTGTACTATATTTTACATACATGCACTTGAAAGCGAGAATGAATGAAATGATCTCGACAGAGCCCGATAAGAGACGTAGCAAACTCCTTGGTTCCACTCTCTGCCTCCTGCTTTCTCTTTTACAGAGAACTTGCCGATCTACTCTTCTCTCCTGTCCCTCTGCTCTCCTTTCACATGTCGGTCCCACTGGGAGGGGGTTTTTACTCATTCCTTACTAAGTCTGAAGGTTCAGTTCCTGCATGTATGGCCCCATCAACTGCTAGTACCTACTGTGTTAGTACGCAGAGGATTCCTGATATAGACTTCCCCACATAGGACAGTGCAGAGGACTTACTAGTACTCCGTACGGGCCCCAGCAAGGGCACTATGAGACAATAACATGCTCACCGTCCCTGAAGAACATCCACCTTGGAGACATTCCCCAACCAGCCACAATAATCGGTCGTGAAACATCGACTGGATTGGGGAACTTGGATCGCCTCCGCACCGCCACAGTGGAACCTCTGTTATGGGCTGGATCGGTTATGTCGCCAGAAGAGGATTGTAGATCCGGTGGCGAAGTATTGCCGGGCCACAGAAACCGTTGGAAAGCCACAGTTCGATCTTGGTGGAGATGTCGTCCATCCGTCTTATTCGTTACCATCAATCCCTTCAGTGTTCAGCCCTCAGGGCTGAAGGAAATTACATGGTTGTGCCTATTGGCACCCACGATAACACTCCTCAACCCCTCGAGATGCTGCCCACTTGCCCTAGCTCTAGACCTGCCGATTGGAGTTTCATGCACGATTACATGTGAAAAAAAAAAAAAAAAAATCCTAACAAATTAATAAATAAAATTAATAAAATCAAATCAAGGAAAAACAAACTCTGAACCAAATGCCACATGGTTAGGAGTTAATCGGATCCAACCACTTGGCATGCCATAGTATATCAATTTATTGTTTTGGTTGCATGCATCCAGCCTTAATTCGATGGTGTCTGCATGATACCCGGACCTTGACGAACTCCACTCAAGCAAAAGCTACCCAGAATGGCAATGGTATGATGATAGATGCCTAATTGAGTTATCACCCAACATATCTGTATTTCCAATCTATGGTTCGTGGGTTCGTGCGTTGCGGAGGGGTGCGGTAGGGTTATATACCATTAACCGCGGCGATGTTGTCTTTGATCTTGCTTCGCTTTCTTTGACTTACAGCCCTTATTTCGCAATGGACCGAGTCCAGTGTCTCCTTCTCCCCTAGTTTTGCTTAGTATTATGAGGCTACAGCCGGACAACCCGTGTTTTTTCTCAGTGCAGTGCAATTGCCAGTCATCATGAACGACGGTACAGGCTCCCCGTCCTCTTCGGGGGCTCCTCGAACAGAAAAGAAGAGGCGGCCCATCTACGCTTGTCTTCCATGTCACAAGCGGAGAGTTAAGGCAAGTACCCTGATAGTCCCTGCGCGGTCTTGTTCACTTCTTGAAGAAGCCACAGGTTCCCTTGTTACCTAAATTGGAGAGACCGAACTGACTCGTCTGCTTGTCCAGTGCGATCACCTTAAGCCATGTACACCCTGCTGTCTCCGGGGAACGCCTTCGCAGTGTGAATTTACCGAGGAAGGAAGCAGTGCACATATGCTGCAGTCAGATCTCATCAAGAGTCTCACAGAAGAATGCGCATACTTGGAAAGCCGGTTGGCCGAGCTGGAGTCAGTACAGCAGCACTCGCCGGACAAGGGGTGTAAGTTTCGGGTTTTCACTGGCTTGCTATACGAGATCCGTATCAACTGACAACCCTCGTGAAGGAGATATCCTCTTTCTTTTGTTTCGACTTAGTATCCATGGCATTGGGGGCCGTCTGGCGCCTTCTGGAGTCTGGTTTTCGGGTCATGGGGTTTACAATGCTGGGTGCGATGGGTTTTTTTAATGCATCATTACGAGACCGGACTGGGTATGGTTATGATGGTAGATGCATGACCGTTTTCCTGAGCGTTTGACCTTTTTTTACTTTGAGCTCGAGCGTTTGGTGTTAAGCGAGTATTCTTGTATAGTCTGTTTGACTCTCGGCCAATTCCTTGCATTTGGTTCCTCCTGCAACGCAAACCATGATGCCTTATAAATGCGGCCATCTATTTACATTTTACTATTCTTCCCTCGTTTCTCTCCTCCCTCTCTGCCACCAATCTCTCTCCCTTCGTTGATTTCACCATATCCACGTGGAAGAGCATCGCTTGATGCTATAAACGCGTACACTAATGTTCGAGCCTCTCATTACCACTGCAAACCCTCCGGAAACTAATAACGAAAGAGCCTACCACTAAAAGGAGCTGTCGCACTATAGTCACTGTGTACATTTCAGTCTTTATCCACGAAAGTCTGAATTAGACATTGATATGCAGGCTTACACGCGTTTGCAGTCTGACTTTCACAGTACATGTCTGGGGTAGTGTTTTCTCCGTCCTACATCTGCGTCAGAAGCCCAACTAACTTTCTCATAGTTGTCTCTTTGCCATTTTGACTGATTTAATGATTCGATTGGCTCAAATATCCACACCGCAGTTCAGTCAACAACTCAATCGAAGACCTTCTGACTCCCTGCATGAGCCATAGCAAGGGGTAAACACCATTGTTGGCGATACGAGGAGCCGAACCCCAGGGAGCACCACTAAGAAACTCGAGCCCCTCCATCCTAATCGATCCTAGAAAACAGAGTTTGGCGTCGATTGTTATTATGACATATGCTCCATGCTTTGCATGATTGTAAAATCGCCTCCTTAGCTAATGATCGCTCTGGCGGATCTAAGCGCATCACTCACTAACTAACTATGCATTCGGTCTCCGGCTTACGTGATACACAAATTTCTCCTTAGACTCGAAAGATCATCTTGCTTTTTCTTCTTCACTCTTCGTTTGATACCGGAGAGGTATACCTGCCGAGTGTCAGTACTTGAATCTGACAGCTCGGTAATGCTACTTCGATGGCCGGGGAAGCGTGACATGAGTGTGACGGTTTGCTGTGGAAGCACTCGCTCGCATATATGGCACGCAGACTGATGTTACTGAACTCCTCGCTCTAGAAACGGTCCTTTACGATGAAGGCGGTGGTTGCTCTCTCAAAGACACGAATGGTGTCCCGGTGGCTGCGGCCGCTGATCTCTGGTAACTGCGAAGGTCGGTCTGATGCTTGTATACGTTGGCGATCCCTGGTTCGGGTCGCTATTTATTTATTTATCTTTGTTCAGGGGCCACGATTGAACATTGTATAGGGGAACACTGTTTTCTTTAAGCTTTCGACTGTGTTCAGGTCCAATTGATATTGGTCTGACGACTATGTACTCTTTGAAACAATGCTTGGCTATCTTGGCTCAATATCCATCGACATATAAATCGCTAGCTCCGCATGCAGACCACCAATGAGAACCATGCAATAACAAATAGTTCCAAGACTAACACCGCACTTTGGTGTCTTTCTCCAAAGATACGGCATTCAGACTGTTCGAGATCCTCTGCATAAACTTCCATAGAAACCTCCACCCCACCTTGGCCTGATCAACAGCCCTCCGATACACATCATATCAACCGTCAGTTCATTTGATCTAGACCATGTACCACTTGTACACGGGAGCATCCGCGATGTCTTCGTATCCCGGAACATGGAAAAGCTTGTCTATATTATCTGCAGGTATAATCGAATGATCGAATGATTCGAGACTAAAGATAGGGCATTGGCTAAGCTTTAAAAGCGGAAGAGGCGAACAGAAAAGCAGCCATGAACCCCGTGACATCACCCGCCCGCAAGGTCCCCGAATCTCTTGCCCTTTTAATCTCATCCTCCGCTCCGCCCTTCTTCCCCCCCGATCGATTCTCCACATTGATTCACCATCATGGCTGCCAGTAATGATGTTCGGGGTTGGATCATGAGCGGTGTCTCCGGCGTCGGTGGGTAAATATCTTGACTTGATTTTGATTTTGATTTTGAATTAATTTTTTTTTTTTCTCGTATTCGACGCTGACCTGTTTCTAGCCTGCGTCTTGGGGTCCGCTGTCATATGTGTTGACGTTCTACTCCGCCACTTCTCGAGAGGTAAAGGTTTCCAGATCGTGAATAATAATGCCTTTTTGTCGGCTTCGTTGTGTCTCAGTGCGGGTGTTATGGTAATTCTTTCTTTTTTCCTGTTGTCCTTTTTTTTTCATTGGCCGTTGCTAACCTTGACAGCTCTTCACTTCGCTCTATAGCATGCTACCTACCTCTCAAGAGTACCTCACCCGTGCTGGATGGTCCCCCGCTGCCGCTGCCTACTCCCTGATCGGTCTCTTCTTGGCCGGCGTCATTGTTATTCGGTTCCTATCTGCGCTTCTTCATCGTTACATTCCCTCCCACGTCGTCGGCTGTGCTCATAGTCATGAGCCGGATGCAAACTCTGCCGACCCGGAGCGCGGCCACAGTCACTACCACGGGCATCACCATGCTCATCACTCAGAAGATCATCATGGCTGGACCGAGCGGACTCCTTTGCTAGCGCGGGCGAGCAAATCCAGTCCCGCGGTGCCACACGCGGGATCTGAAGATCCTCACACTGCTTTTTTCTCTGCCGGAACTTGGCGCGTACGTTTGGGCCGGCGTCTAAGTCGTATGGTGGGCATCAAAACGCACTGTGACAAGGACGGTCCCTGTTATGGCTTTTCGCAGAAATGTGGTGCCGAATGCTCCAAGACTCTGATTGCCCCTGAGATCTCTGTCGCGGATGACACTGACGTCCACGTCATTCCTGTGCGTGTGGACATTGACCAGGTGGATGGTCCAGAAGAAGACTTGACTACCTCCAACCACACACATCACAAATCTGGAGACTCATCTTCCTCCACCCCTCGTAATGAACTATCTGAATACCCACCCCCATCTGCGGAAGATGCGGATAGCACGTCCAAAACGCAAGTGCTTGGAAGCCAGCATCACCACCATGTGCCGCAAAATGCGTTCCTGTCCATCGGTCTACAGACCTCGATAGCGATCGCTCTTCACAAATTGCCTGAGGGCTTCATCACTTATGCTACCAACCATGCTAACCCAAAACTTGGTCTGACCGTTTTTCTTGCCCTTTTCATCCACAATATCAGCGAAGGCTTCGCCATGGCACTACCTCTTTATCTCGCCCTTCAATCACGCGGCAAAGCGATTTTCTGGTCCAGCCTTCTGGGCGGTGTCAGCCAACCGGCCGGAGCAGGCCTCGCGGTCCTTTGGATCTGGGGCACCGGACGAACCGGTAGCCCCGGGGGCGATGCCGACTCGTCCTGGGCCGTGTACGGAGGCATGTTCGCAGCTACGGCAGGGGTCATGACCTCCGTGGCCCTGCAGCTGTTCAGCGAAGGGTTGGGACTGACCCACAACCGGGGGATTTCAATCGGCTTTGCCATCGCGGGAATGGGTATAATGGGCCTGAGCTTTGCCCTAACTGCATAATTGTCGTGATTCACTAGGCGTTTTTTGGTATACCTTGGCGTTTGAATTTGAGTTACTATACGCACCTCGCATCTCCATAGACGAAAAGGGAAGCCAAAGCATAAAGCATCTAGGAGTTCAGTCTTTTTCATGAATGCGCAACGAGTGATGATTCTGATTTCGGGTCTACGAGATATGCTTTACCTATTCACTTAATTCAACCTGTTGCTCAACGAAGACTCAACTCACCCTTGTTGCCACTAGGGGTAACATTCCTTTTACGGGGACACTGTAGAATGCGAGATATGAGAGGTCTATCGGAGCCCCTTTTTAAATCACAGCCTTGTAAGTGTGCTGTTCGGGCTTGGATTATGCGGTCGAACTGCCTAGTAAGTCTATGAGATCGCTATGCTTGTTCAATGGGCCATGGGCTGAATGTGTTCCTTTGATAACAACATGGGTAGTTGAGACTGGTTTGTACTGCGCTGTAGAGTACTGAATATACAATGCGAGATGGAAGGAGAAGCTGACACGCTTCAGGTGACACGGATCCTGTGGTCATGTGCAGGGCAAGTCTCTCATTTGTCTTTTGCAGATTGATTGCTTACTCTTACCGGAAGAATATTGATTTTTGCATTTATCATACATCTATTATACGCATATACAATACCATGTCCAACGCCTCATTTATGCAACCATAGCCCCTGTGACTCCCAAGTAATTGAAACAGTTAACAGTAAAAGCGAGGGAAGAAGGGCTAGGCACCCTTGCCTTTCGCTGCGGCTTCTCGTTCCCTTTTTCTCGCCAGGTATCGCTCCTTCGCGCTCGAGACATCTCCCTCGGTCTTGCGGCTGCGGCTGCGCTCTGCGATTTCTTTCTGCCGTGCTGCCTCGGCCGCTTCTTCCTGTTGCGCTCTCTCTTCCAGTTGCGAAGCAATCATCTCTGTTTGACGAGCGCGCTGGCCAGCCCGAGCGTTCTGTTGCTCCGATTGGAACCGGGACCTTGGCGCAGAAGCGCGCGATCCAGCAGCAGCCGTGGCCGCAGAGGGCTGTTGCTTGGGTTTGGGGGCAGCATTGAGACCAGCAGACAGCAACTGTCGCTTATCGACAACCTGTCCTTCGTCATTGATGGCAATATGGGCACCCTGTGCATTGAGCTCCTCGGCTTTCTGCGCTTCTGTCTTCTCCTTGAGATCCTCTGTTTCTTCCGGAGCTTCTCCAGCCTGCACCCGCCGTGCAGCCTCTTCCGTAGCCTTCATAACAGCCTCATGCTGTTGTTCACCCCGAGATAGCATGTCCCTGTAGAAATCAACCATACCAGTACTTCCATTCTGTTTCCGTCGCTCTTCCTCCTGCCGCTCCCGCTCCGCCTCCTCCTCTTCCATCTTCCGCAATTCCTCCTGCTGCTTCTTATACGCAGATGTCACAAACTTCTCCTTATCAGCAAACTCATCGCCCTCCGCCTCCCGCTCCTTAGCCAGCATCCGATCCCGCGCGCGAAGCTGATCGCGCTTGCGGATCTCCGCACTCCGCAACAAAGACCCCATATACCGCGGACCCTCGTTTTTATTCTCCGCCGCCGCTTTCTCTTTCCCAGGCTTCGCATGCAAGCTCTCATACACCGCATCGTAAGAATAAATCGACGGATCGAGCTCCTCCGCATCCTGCGCATGCTTCTTACTGCTATGCATCGCAGACAGGTTCACATATTCCTTACTCCCCGCTGCGGAACCGCCCTTCTTCGTATTCAACCCAAATGAAGCCCCGCTATCCCCCGTCTGCTGCTCCGTCGTCTCATCCTCATCGTCATCCGCGAAAATAGAACTCTTGCTCAGCGGCTTCACGTTCGGTTTCCCCGTTGCGCCTCCCCCGAATGGCACTTTGCGCTTCGCGGGAGGTTCCGTCGTAGATGGCTTTGCCGAGGTGCGTTTCGTCTCGTCTAGTCCACCGAGTGTGGAGATCTCGACTTCCCCGCTTCCCGTGTCTTTGCTTTCGGAGTCCGAGTCCGAGTCGAAGATGGTTTTCTTGCGCTTTTGCCCAAGGGCCCCCGGGGCGCCGGGGCGCGCGTTTGGTTGTTTTTTGTTAGCGAGATTGAGGCCGTAGGAGAACGTTGGGGGCGGCATTTTTGGGATAGGAGGGTTTGTTCTGCGTGCTGGATGATGGTTCGTGTTGGCTTCTTTTGAGGTTGGACCTAGGTCAGTTCTGGATGATTGTGGTCACGTGTTGATAATGGTATCTTATCGGGGTTGGGGCTTATCGTATAGATCTCATTTGGGGTTTATGGACATGGTTTTGGTGCGTTGTTTGGATCGATCCAGTCCCTGTTGTATTGAGTATTGAATAATGGGTCCTGTGCTTGTGGGCAGGTAGACCATTTGGCTACTGACTATTTGCTCTGGGATATTTACACTTGGGCAGAAAGGTTACAATTTAGATCCGAATGTCATGCACAACTGTTTTCTTGTATGAATAGTGCTGGAAGCAGTGTGTGTTTGAGGAGACTAACAATTGGGAGCTGTGATAGTATGTGGACTTGAACTTATTCACAATTACTTGTAGGGCAGAACCGCATGTAAGTGAGTGTACAAATCAATATGAACAGAAGTAATGTAATCAAGCAGCAAGATGCATGTTTTGTAGTTAGATCCCATACGGTCATTTAGTATTGATGTCGAAATGCCGCTTTCTTGCTCCCAGGAACAAAGGCCATCCAGTAGTAGCTTGATGCGTAACGTTCTAGATCCCGTTCAGCGAGCATCGTCTATCATATATGGAAAGGATGGAGGATCTTTTTCACATTCCATTTAATCTGCTATATCTGATCAATAATTCATATCGCCGAGCTGTGTGCATCAATATTGCCCAGTGTATCACCTAGCCCAATCATGCGATAGTACTGACTGATCTATTAATCGCAGGTCTCCTATGTGAGCCTGTGTCCTGAGACTGATCGCCTAGTTCCAAGGTCTCCACCTGCACCAATTGGCGCCGCGCAGACTCCGTAGCTTGCCATCTCCTCAGTGGGATGGTCAACAGGCTACTAAGGGTTGTTTGGATTCCCTGATAGATAACCATGGGCAACTTCATTCTAGACTGAGCGGCTTCAGGCAGCCCCATAAACATGATGGTTGTTATTGGCACACCCATCGCCGGCGTTTTGGTGGGCACCAGATATGCCACAGCTATTGTGTCCTCGCGGCTGAGCCATAGCCATGAGACCAGAATGGCGATGGCAATGCACACCAGAAACAGTGCGATCAAGATAAAGACAACGAACACCATGTTATCCGATCGAACTTCGGAAAACGCATCGGACTCGAATGCGCCATCATAAGTACTCCAGATGATGACTAACAATGCAAAGGAGCTCAATTTGCTCATCTTCCACTCTAGGAATACTGTCTTCACCAGGCGTGGAAACACGCTAGCTATGATTTGCCCGACCAGCTAGTCATAGAGAAATGTTAGCATCAACAAATCACATGCTATTATTGTGGGAATGTAGCACATACCAGTGGGGCAAAAACCGAAAGCCCCAGCTCCTTAAAGACATATCGATAGGTTTCGGTGAATCCTTCGGTCTCCGGCAGAAAATCTGTGTACCAGGCGCCAGTGCTGGTGTAGAGCTTTATTAAAGCTGTCGTCAGGAATGGACCAAGAAGGCTCCCAATGGTCGACTGCGCGATGGACAAGGCTCCATTTCCGTTGGCCTTTCGGGTCATTATAGTGTTGAAAGAGATACTTTATGTCAAGGCCTTCGGGTTAGCGATTATTTCAGAGTAGAAAGAAAATTTATCACCGTGGGCTTCTGATTGGGTTGGCTTACGCGGTAGGAAGACACCCCAGGATGATAATTCCGATCAACAGTGCCGGATCCATAAAATGCTTGTCGGTTGCACAGGCGCTGACAACGCCATAGCTGATCGATGAGGTCAGGAGATAACATTGCACTTGAGTGAAGATGTGCACTTTCCAGCGGCTCAGATTTTCGACTAGGACCTGAGTAGGAAGTGTACATCCATTGATGAAGAAAATGATGGAAACCGCTACATAGTTGACAACGGTTTGCTTTAGCGGCTGATGGGGTTTTGGCACCTGCACCTGAGAGGCGAAGACAATCAGGATGCCCATGACAATAAGAAACCATTGGTCAACCACTAAGTCCCAGATTCTAAGTGCCCATCTCCATCGCTTCTTTTTATCGTTGGCGTTGGTTCGGGGTCCGCTCGGCATCGGAGAAGTGTCTCGGCGTCCAAAGGATTTTAAGGAGAGCTGTCTGTCTTCCACATCTTTTAACAAGGCATCAACCGGCGCTCGAAAAGGAGAGCAAGGGGGTGGAAAAGACTTTAAGCTTTCAGCCTATACTTACCACTGGCACTATCTCGGCACGAGTCACTTGAGAGCTGAGGCGCCGGCGTGTTAGTCATGACCCCCGTGGCTTGTTGGTGAAATATGATCTATGGAGCAACCATGGATAAGTAAATATACTTCAATGGATTCCAGAATATCTCTGTCAGATCGCCTCGAGGAAGGGCGATTAGGGCCACTTTTATACATCTCCAATTGTCCCTGATAGCCAGGACAGCATCAAAGCCAGGGAGGACTAGAGTCACTAGATTGGTGGGTCGCTCAGCAGAGGCAGCATGTTGTTTCGTCCCTTTACTTCCGTATATATGTAGTAATGACGTCTCATTGTGACTTTCTTTTTTAGGATTCTCATACATGTGGTATGCTCCTGTTCAGATTGAGATTGTCACACATCGTAGGGTAAAGTGTAGTAGGTTTACTATAGCTATCAAGATACTGATATACAGGGTAGTGGAGATACTTTGGGATTAATACCCATCCCTGCCATAGACGACGCGTTGCCAGCAATGTAAGGTGGAATGCAGATACCCACCGTCATAGTACGTATGTAGATATGGATACGTACGTCGATAAGGGTTATCTTATCGTGCACGTGACTCGCGTCCCATTATCTACTGTCCGTATATCATCATTGTTCCCCTGACCAAACTCCGACGAAGTTGACAATTACAAATGTCCTACTACTTCACCATTCTCTCCCCCACAGATGTTCCTCTGTTCAACATCGCCTTCGGCACCTCCAAAAGTGGTGGCGATGGAATTGCCCGCTTCCGATATCCGGATACCGCACAATACATGAACCAATTCATCATCCATTCAAGTCTGGACATTGTTGAGGAAGCCCAGTGGATGAATGGGAACCTGTATGTCTCTTCTTTGCGTTTCTTACTGGTTTGGTTTGACATAGGCTGCATACTAAAACATAAGATATGAAGGTATCTAAAACACATCGACACCTACCCCCCCGCCTCAGCCTACATCTCTGCCTTCCTCGCTCCCTCCGGCGCCCGATTTCTCCTCTTACATCAACCCCCTCAACTCCCCTCCACTTCCTCTACCGGAAGCGGATCTTCTTCAATACTAGGAGCAAGCTTCTCGGCCTCTGCCCTTGGCGGCGGTAGTTCCAGTCGCGCGTCATCTAGTTCAATCGGGGCGAACCCAACCTCCCCGCAGACCGAGGAGGCCGTGCGCCAATTCATGAACGAGGTTTACGAAAATTATGTCAAGACCGTGATGAGCCCATTTTACAGGCAAGGAATGGAGATTAAGAGTCCCGTATTCAGGTCGAAGGTTACGGCTGCGGGAAGAAAATGGTTGTAATCTCTCCCTTCCTTTTTTTTCAATATTTCCCGCTTGCTTAATACCACTTTGCTGCTTATACCTGTTTGTTCTTTGAGCATATCCTACTTGTGTATACTTCTCGGGAGTCAATGGTTAGGTTCTATTTAAAATCTCAATAGAGGGGCCCCCAATCCGATGGCTGTTCGATTCTGCCTTATGTACGCCTGGTGAAAGTAAGCTGCGGAATTATGGATCTATTTACATGTGATTGTGTTTTGGCGGAGGTCCAACACCCATTTCGTAGCTATCCAGAGTTATGGACAGGGTCAGTTAATGCGCAGTGATTCGTTCCAGGATGGCAGAACGTAAAGTGTGGGCGTGGACGTTTGGTGAGATCTTGGTCATTCCTCTGACATTATATATATAATCAGCAACGCCCCATGCTATACATTCGGCCGAGTGTCAATGGCCTACCGTCCTCCATGGTACTCACTCAAAGTTGATTCGATAGACTGGAACCTAATAGATCTACCTATTCTATTACTGGTAGAACCGCATGCCCAACAATCTCACTAGGCAGTTGAGTTACACTCATGCCAGAAGTTGGTCATATTGGCTACCGTGTCAACTCGTCCGCTAAAGAGCGATTTGCGTGTATGTAAAAATAGCTACTACAGGTGCGAAAACTGTAGAACTATACTTGCTTGCCTAGGTTCGCATGTCGTCTGAGTTTGGAATTGAGTTCGTATTAGAAAACATGGATACTGTCTCTGGGAGAAAGGGTGTTAATTTATCTACCAAGTAGGATGCGTGCCCACGCTTGGCGTCACGTTGGAATTTTGAGAGGCTTGAGTATTAGCACCACAATATATATATATACTAGTCACAGTGAAGTAAGTTTTAATCTCACCGGAGCAGTGGGATGTTTATTCCGAGTAAATGTATCTATAGTCCCGACAAGGAACAGATTTAGATCGAGGTGAACTTAGGGTTAAAAGATCCTGTTTACTTGCGGATCACATGCTGCGCTTTCTATACTGGGTTAGTAAGACCCCTAAGATATCCATGGTAATAGTAAATACCAGTAATACTAGTAATGAAGTAAGCTCTTAGCAGAAACTTTAGACACTGCGATCAGTGCTAGTTGCGTGCTAGTCTGACATGCCAGTGGGTTTATTCTTACTTCACAGAAGCCATGCATAAACCGTGTTCATTCGTCGGTTTTTCAACAGTCTAGACCCGCGTTCGAATGGTTCAAGTGAGATTTAATCTCGACCGTGTCGCTAACATGTAGATCAAATAAAAGTATCCGCAAGATAAACCCCATGGCTTGAAAAACGGGAAAAGGAAACGCTCAAAAATACATCACAACGCCTAACCAAACCAACTGTCAAACTGTCATCTGAGGAGCCAACTTCTTCACGGTGCTATTCTTGAAGTTTTCCACAGCGTGCACTATGTCATCGACTTTGGCTATCGCCCCAAAGATTCCACCTTCCATTTTGACCGATTCAATCGTGCTCACATGGAGAGAAGGCTCACTGGCCGCCGTACCGTCTTCTAAGATTACGCAGTCGAACCCTCGATCATTCGCCTCGCGCATAGTGGTAGAGACACAGACATCAGTCGTCACTCCTGCAATTACCAGGTTCTTGATGCCTTTATTCCGAAGAAGAAGCTCGAAGTCAGTGTGAGCAAATGCCCCGCGACCGGGCTTATCGATGACTGGCTCCCCGGGAATCGGATACAGTTCATCGACAGTGTCGTGGCCAACCTCACCCCGGATCAAGAGACGACCTAATGGGCCCTGGGACCCAATCCCAAGCCCGGAAGCGTTATTCCGTGACCGGTACGCCTCCCGACTTGAGAGAGTGGAGAGATCGGGTCGGTGACCTAAAAAGATAAGCTACTGGAACACACAAATTTGGGGGCTGTACGTGACTACCATACCTTCACGTGTATGATAGACTGGAAACCCAGACGCTCGGAACGCATTCAGGAGATGTTGTAGCTTAGGAATAAGTGCATGGGCAGCTGATATATCATAGCCTTGATATTCCATATAACCACCTGGCGAGCAGACTGTGATATGTTTCGTTAGAGAGCAATATCCATAAGAGGATCTAGAGGGATGAGAGTGCATACAATCCTTTTGCATATCAATAATAACTAACGCAGTTGTATATGGTGTTAAAGTCGCGTCATGCGGCCAATCATACGGTGCCGCCGCGACTTGGCCCTTTCGAACCTTGTGATGAGGAACTTGCCGGGGCTTCTCGACAACTGGGCCGTGATTATGTGTCGGGTTTAGAACGGTCAGCGTCCAAATACCAGGAGTTCCAGCTGCGACTAGCATAAATGGACAATCCATCAACCGCGACGTTCGCCGCCGTTTCCTCGTCTCCTCGGTGAGGCCGTTGCGCGGACGGTAGTGTCCGCCCCGATCGCATCTGAGCCATACCTTCGCGGTCCGTCCAGGTTTCTTTTCGGTGGGAGTACTGGAAGACTTGACTACAACATTGTACCCGTGCGCTTTTCCGTGTGCCTGCACTGCTGCAAGAAGAGATGCCCTTCATATGTCACACAGCATAAGTATACAACTCCACAATCATGCCAATGCGGGGATTTCCGCCGCCAAGCCAAATAGACGATCAACGAGTAGACTCACTTGTCAGGAAATGTTCCTTCGGGGGGTGGAAGGAGTTGCATTGACATCTCTGGAATATCTTGAAGATCGCTGGGAGCGTCGAGGTTCAGATCGGTGGGGTCTGCCATGATAACCAACCGTGTGGATCTCTGTAGGATAGAGGAGGTCTGAAACGAAGTGTCAGCATTGTCGGCAAGGTCTTTAAAGCGACAATGAGGCTTTCAGCTGAGGAAAAGAAAAACGGGGCATCATGAAGCACATCGGAGGCTTGAACTAAATAAGTGCGTGGAAGCAATCCATAGTATATGAAGTGAACCGGGAGCTGAATCGTGCGTGGACATAGCGAACGTTCTTTGGAGACAGCGGGGAGGCGGATCTCCAAGAGGACAATAGATTATTGGTAAGGGGGGGGAAGTTCAAGGCAGCAGGGACTGAGAGAGGTAGAACCCGGGCTAGTCCGAATGATGGGGATGGGACGAGAGATGAAGAAACTCACCCAAGCACAATCCAAGTAGAAATCGCTCTATCTCCAAACAGGCCCCAGACAAGCCAGAGGCATTCGATTGCCCCAGAGTGTCCGTCACTCACAGATCATCATCGGAAGACGCACAGCCGCAGGCGGTGGAATCGAATTGTTATAGTGCTAGGCCAAATCTAGTTTAGTGGTATTGGTTGTTATGATTCTCCCGTATGGGCCCGTACTGTTGTCCCGTGGACACGGCCCAGCATCTGCTGCCCACTCATCTGGATAGCATCACCACCTCTACTTCATTTCCCCCCCAAAACATTGCCCACGACCCTCTACCCTCTTGCCCCTCTGTGAGGGACGCTTACAGGTAAGTCAAGTTACTGAGACTGAAACAGTCTCAGTGGCCCTTTTTTCCTCTTTTCTCTTTCTTTTGTTTTTTTCTCTCTACTACTTCTACTTCTATTTCCT